CTCATCTGGAGGGTCTGAGTGGGTTCGAGTCCCACCGGCTCTCATCTGAGTGGGGGCCAATTTGTTGGCTCCCCGTCTGGGAGACGGATCTCCAACACAGTCTCCATCTGAATTTTTGCTTTCAGTTTTGCTTCGATCTCGTGCCGCGCGGCTTGTGTCGTGTTTTGTCTGTTTAAATCCTGTGTTTCTCATGTATGTATGTGTTTTTCTGTGTCTGTTTCTTTGTGGACTTGGACTGATAAAAATTTGGACAGAGGACAGTTGAAATTAGAACTAGTTCTTGGCTCGGGAGCTCGGGAGTACACACGGCTGCATGACAGGACACCAAGCAGTGTGCTCTCCCTCCCGAAGGAGCTGAGGAGAAAATGCTTTCAGGTGGCTGGGGAGACGTGGAGCTGGAGCTTGGGCGGGCGGTGCTCGGACACTTGGGAGTCTGTAAAATAACAATGTACAACCAGCAGGGCACGGGCTCTGCAGCCCCGAGACGAAGGGGTGGAAGATCGCCCCGCGCTCGGAGGGGAGGTGGGGCGGCGCGGCTGGACGCCCCGGGAGCTGCCTACAGTGTTCAAGAGAGGCCCGGCCAGAAAGCAGGTTCATGACCTGCGGGGGAGGTAAGCTAGAGTAAAGCTCACAGGGAGCCAAGAGAACAGGCAAGGCTCGTGGGCTTGCTAGGTAAAAGTCCTTAGGCGGGGATTGGCACCTTAGCTGCTCCACGACAGGAGCTGTTCTGGCTGCCGAAAATAAAGAAAAATTCCTCCCCCTTGCCTTCATGCCAGCTCAGCAAGAGAGAGAGAAGAGAGCAGCAGGAGCTCACCACGCCCTCTTGCTCCTCTCTTCCCTCCTCCCACCTAGGGGGCTTGCAACTTACAGATCAAACAGTAATTTAGGATGATTGTTTTCAATTGGTTTTAAATGGTTGATATGATCAAAAATAATTGGGTATGTTTTAAGGTTAAATTCAAATCCTTGTTTAAAACATGTATATGTGCCTATGTGTTTGTAGGGTCTATGAATACATATGTTTAAATAACAACAATATAAATTGCCACATGGTGTGACTCAAAAAAGAACAAAGGTTACAAAATCTCTGAGTCAAAATGATTTTATTTCCTTTTAAGATAAAAAAAAAAAGGGGTCTTGTTCTAAGTTGATATTGGTTCTAAAGATTGGGTTGTTTTCACTGATAAATTTTGGTCTTAAAATCTGGTTTAAACTTCTATTTGATTTTGACTTTGAAATTATGGTTATGCTTTGTGAATTCACTCCTAAAGAAAATACTTTGCTTTGATATTGCAGGGACGAGTTTTAAAAAAAATTGTTCAAATGTTTAAGGCTATAAAATATTTAAAGTTTATCAGGCATTTGGGTATGACAATGATCTTGGGTAATCTGACAAAATTTAAAAGTGTCTCGATCCTTTGGGGAGAATAAAAATACTTTGATATTTATTTTATCAATTTTATTAAATAAAACCCAGCCGTATGATTTGTGCTAATTAAAAAAAATAATAATAATTACAGTTTTTAAAATGTATCTTATGGAGAGCTGTTTGTTTGTTGAGCTGCTTTGTTTAAAAAAAAAAACATGGTCTTGTGGACACAGGGCTCCAGCAGGATCATGTTAGGATAGAAAAGATTTTGATGAGAGTTTATATGTTGTCTAAAAAGCAAGAGAAAAGAAAAAGAATGTCTGGTTAAGCCAGAAAAAGAAAGCTAGAAACCAGAAGGTTAGTGGATGTTGCAGAAGGTTAGTGGATGTTGCAGAAGGTTAGTGGATGTTACAAAAGGCTAGTGGATGTATTATAAAAAGCCAGAGAGTTAATATGATTTGAGAAAAAAAAATTATATTTTAAATATGTTATAGTTCATTTAAAAGGCTGGTGATTCCTCATAACAAAATGTTTTCTTATGTTCTTTTAAGAAAAAAATTCTGGCTGATAGGTTTGGTATGGCTAAAATAATTCATACAGTTTAAAATTGTTCTATACTATTCTGTTATACAGTTGGTTCTAAAACTTATTTAATCACTAAGTTAAAAATGTTAGTTATAAGAAATTATAAATGCTCCACAATGTTTGCTGTATCATCATCAGCACCTAATGGCTATGTTTGGTATTATCAGTCACAGCCTGTGGTAGCCTAACACGAGGCTAGCCACCATGATCTTTCAGGGATAGAGAACATATAAAACTATATTTTTGCTGCCATTTCTGTTTAGGGCTTCCAGCTGAGTTCAGTTACACGTGGTTAGCCGCCATGCTAGTCCAGAGAAAGAGGGTAGAGCCATGAGTTTGTGATCATTTTTGCTCAGGTATCTCAGTTATGTTCAGTCATCTGATTAGTGCTAAAATGCAAAGCTTTTTACTGTTCAATTTTAATGCAAGTGATAGGAACAACAAGATTTGCTAGGCTCTCTATGAACTGTATCTGATTAAAAGATTTGCTTTGATTTTAGTTCAAAAAGAACAGATTTAAAGTTATACTAACAATTACAGTTGGCTATACCTAGTGTCTTTGTTTAGTTTTTCTTTTATACAGTTTAAAACAGATAATAAAGATAGACAAACAGATAACTCAGATATGCTGGCCCTCAGGCTTGTCAGAGATCTGATGAATATGGCATTTTAACTGTGTAAGCTTATTGTGACAGAAAGTCCTAAAATCCTGGCAGTAGCTCCCCCAAGGTCTCCGAGAAGATTTGGGCACAACGACAGATGGCTGCGACTCTGGATTGTGGTATGCTAACCACTAGGCAATATTGCCTCAACTGGCCCACTGCTAGGGCCCAGCCTAAGCTGTGGACAAAGCCGGGGACATCTGAGGAGCCATTGTCTCACATTGTGAGAGGCAAGGTGAGGTCAATCTCTTCTGTTCCTCTTTCCACAGAAGCAGTAAAAGCAGTCTCTCACCTTCTGTGCCTGGCTGGACAGCCTCTGTTCAGGATGCCATGAGACAAGAGCGAGGGACACTGCCTAGGTGATGGACTAAGTAGTCATCTCTGTCATTTTGATAAACACATAGATTGATATATTTATTTAGCTTATAACTTTTCCTTCTCAGGTCTCTGAACACCTTGATGGCTATGCTAAGCTTACGGTAGCTTTACAGCTAGAAAAAAAGACAATTAGATCCACTGTTAGTTCATTGATCAGTTCATTAGCTAAAACTACTGAGTACTAGATCTCTTATTTAGAAAAAGAGACAGGTTTCCCTTGCTCACAAAATTCATGTTAGTTATCTGTGTCTTAAGATATATAACTAGATAAAAAAAAAAAAAGATACAGTGCCTATATAAAGTCTAAAGATATAAGAGTTTAGGTTATAAAATCTAAAATGTTATTATTTGGTCTGAAAAAAATGTTTCAGGGTTGATAAATACAAAAATATTAGAGTGTCTAAGTTGATAAAAATAGTTTAAAACATGTTAAAATTGAGAGATATTTTAGATCTCTCCCCCCTCTTTGCTACTGTTGTGCTTATGTTATAAGATTTCAAAAGTTCAGAGTTTTGACATTTATTAATAGAGTTCTGATAAGTTGATAGAGCACTGCCTGCTTATTATTCAGTCACCAGGTTGAGATTTTAATTTCCTTTGATTGGCTTCTGGAGATAGACTTAAAAGATACTTCTCGTCATGTTAAAAACATCTGTTTAATATATCTGACCCAAAAGTCATAGCTTTTAGTATGGTATTCTTAATATCTGCCATTTCTGAGATAGATTTTGACACAGAAATAAAAAAAAAATCAAGCATCCAGGGTTTAATACTAAAGCCAGTAATGTGTTTAAATATAAAAAAAAATGGCCAAGCTTCATTCGTGGCTAATTACCAACAGCTATGCCCACAAAAAAATGTTACCATAGACACACTTAAGTTATATATAAAGGTTATAAAACAAACAACTGATACTTATTCAGTGGGATGCAGTTTTACCTGTTACTCTCAAAATGTTCAATTTGCTAATATGTTACTTTTCTGAGTATTTAAAATTATACATTTCCTTTTGTGTACTAAAAATTTCATATAAGTTTCAAGATTTGACCTGGATCTGACATAGCTCAAAAGGATCACAGATGAGGTTTTCCCTAATCTTTCCAATTTAATAGATAAATTTTAACTTCTGTCTCCAGTCTAAATTTGTCTCAGCAGATTTTCACCTGTTCAACTCTGTTCTGGGATCAGCTATAGACTACAAGCTGAGATCTGGACTTCCTGAAAACTGACCTGATTGCTCCCTGCCTCTTCCGGTGGATCAACTGACCAGATGCTTGGGACTGCCCTATTGCCCAGCTTTTGACTGGCATTTCAGCCTCCCCAGTCCCTGATGCCTACGTCCAACGGTCAGCATGAAGAAGCTACAGAAGACGGATCTCCGCCCAAATCCCCCCTAACAGGCTGAAATGCTAAGTCAAAAGTGGCTCCCTGACATTAGCTATTATCTTGAGCATCTGCTTAGCTGCTGACCATACTAAATTGATAAGAGATGGTTTAGTCAGTCCCCCTGGTTCACCACCCTCGTTTCCTGTTTCCTCCCTCATGGGCCCCCTAATCATAATTCTCCTGATTCTACTAGTTGGGCCTTGTATTCTAAATTGATCCAGTTCATAAAAGACCGGCTCTCTGTCGTACAAGCGTTGGTGTTGACCCAACAATATCATCAGCTCAAACAACAGGAGACAAAATTTAACTCTTCCTAGGCCCGAGAATGGAAGATTCCATTCTAAGTTAAAAGAAAATGGGGGAATGAAAGACCCCAGCCTCACACTAAGTTAAACATGGCTAATGCCATTTTGTGAGACACCACTGTTTTGTAAAACTCTGAAGGCCAGATGAGAAACTGGAAAATTACTGAGAAATCCTAGCTGTGTCACCCACTTGGGATATCTGTGGTCAGGCTGCCCCAGTCATACTAAAAACAGTTTGTGTTAATCACTCTCATAGATATCTGTGAGACTGTTTCAGCTAAGATAGGGAAAAACAAAATAACAGGTGGCGGGCCACGTCAAGGGGTCATCCTACCCCCCTTGACCACCCAGTTCCTGGAATCTTGGTGCCCCTGCCAAACTTTGACGCAAATTGTGGTCTCGTGTAAACGTACCAATCAGCCCCCTGTAACCATGCCCTCTCGTGTCTGTACCAGTGCTTCTGCCTCTAAAACCCTATAAAAACCCCAGCTTCCCATCTAGGGGGCGCGGAAGTCTTCCGAATGACTTTTCGCCCCGGGTACCCGAGTATCAAAATAAAAGCCTCTTGCTGTTTGCATCCGAATGGACTCGTTGATCCTTGGGAGGGGGTCTCTCTGACGGAAGATACCCTCCGGGGATCTTTCATTTGGAGGCCCCAGCGAGATCTGAGACCCCCCACCCAGGGACCACCGACCCACCTTCGGGAGGTAAGCTGGCCAGCCGTCTTTTCTGTTGTATGTATCTGTCTTGTCTGTTGTGTGCTTCTGTGTCTGTTCTGTTTGCAACCTGAGACTTGATCAAGTCATCTGAATTTGGCGGAAAGTAAGAAGGGGTCGACGGACCCGGACTTCTGTTCTGCTGGCCCGGGGAGCCATCCCCAGGGTGAGAGGGTCTGAGTGGGTTCGAGTCCCACCGGCCCTCATCTGGAGGGTCTGAGTGGGTTCGAGTCCCACCGGCTCTCATCTG